AGTCAGCGAAAGAAACTAGCCAAACAAGCACGTTAATGAGCCATTAACAATCATTCAACCTCTCGACTATTTCTCCAGACAATGCGCTTTCTACCTTAAATTTTCCATCCACACTAAATACTAGAACATACAAGGGTAGCGTAGATCGATTATGAAACTAGAAACCTAAAAAGCGTTGCAGCACCTCACAGTGAGGAAGGATTGCGACGTCGATCAAATTCCCGGGCGGTTAACTACATGTCGCGGAAAGTGATTGGTAAGAAGAAGACAAGACTTTTTCATGTCGATGAACAGTACAGCCGATTTGAGATTTAGTTCGATTTCACGCTTCGTACATAACTTTAAACTTATTACCCAACTGTTGAAAAGTAGGTATTCATAAAATCCCATTTCCAGCTGTCCGACATTGCTTTTGACCGCATCGCACATGTTCTCGTCGCCGTACATTATGGTGCAGGTAAAGTGGAACTGGTGGTACCTAAAAATTGAGGGACATTGTATAGAAATTGAAGGTTTATTGCTTGGACTAATCTGAGAGGATCTGCAAAGGATGGTGCATTTCGGCATAGATAAAAGTAAGAAAACTGCGAAATTGAGCAAAAAATAACTAAAAAACGAAAAAGAAACATAAAACCATTAGTTAACCTATGAACAAAACTGCTATAACTGACTCACTGCACAACAATTACAAAGAATTACTGTGGAACATGTTTTTCATCACTTTTATCACTTCTTCATCCGTTCCCGTCAGTGGATTTAAGGTTCCGATGCTAGTGGGTTTGCCTTATTATCCTCAGCAGTCCTGTAGCTTACTTAACATATTGTGACATACTTTACCACAGTGTCAGCGGCTCCCCATTTTAGAATTAGAATTAGGAGGTTTCTAATTCTGCTGTTACTCCTTCCACATGACTTGCATATGTTTTGCAAGCAACGAAAAATTTCACTAACTGAGGAAGGAAAGGAAAGACTGTCACCGTTGGAATATCCAGCTTCCTTCAGTTTCGTAATTTTGCCACTTGGCGCCCATCTCTTCATGAAGTTAATGATGTGGTTTATCTCCGATTATATTCAATCAGCCAAGAGCGCCTTATTTTTATTAGTGGTAGAGTCTACAGCCATACGGCAAGTGTAGCAGGTAGTCTCCTGTTTCTTTATCACAGAGTAGTACTCATTTATCAACCTCAGGAGGAGAAAGGATGAGTGATCCTGAGTCAGTTAAGAGTTCGACGTTTCACCAGCTGAACAATCCTGGTCTAAAGAAATGTGTGGTAAATTCCATGCTCAATGGAATTCGTGAATAAGTCAAAGATTTACCTAGAGCGAACTCAACACCTATGGATTTCGAAGCAGACACTTTAGACACTGTGTCACAACGTCCGGATTAAAGATAGCTATTCTTCAACTAATGCCAGGCTTAGGAAAGCAAAGCTAACAACAGAAATCGGTATTACAAAGCAGAGTGAAAGGATAAATTTCACGTTCATAAGGCGCAACAGTAAGTGCGTGCATACAAACGCATGCACTTAATCCTTTTCACAGTCCTATTTACTATGAGGCTTCGGAGACTTGAGCTACAAGTCAGATTCCCATTCAATAGAAGTCATCTTCCTTAAACTAATTCTGTGGTGGTGTAAGACGAATGAGAGTCATTATTTGGAGCTGTGACGCAACACTGCGCCGCGACTTTAGTTCTAGTCCCTTAGAGGAATCATTTAAACAGCGACAGCTCAATGGCATTCAAGTGCCCGTAGTGCACAGGACGCAAACGCTGCGTCGATACGAGGAAACAAGTCAACTTGTAGTTGTGACTGGAGCAAAATATGAACGCACTCACCACTAATGCTCATCAACCAAAAAGCATGATGAAAAAATTCGACCATTAATCAAATGAATCGCAATTCATGTATCAAACAGTCATGAGAATAAAAATCTGTAAACCTGTCTCGTC